GGGGGGGGTTGCAGCACGATGTGACCCCATTTTGCAAAGGACCCCTGAGATGGGTGGTGTGAGTGGGGGATGGGGGTGTGGCTGGGTGCTGATCCCACTGATTCCCATGGGATGGCTGCAGTGGGGTCAGGGGGTGCCCAGAGCAAGGGGGGGGGGGCGGGGCTCCAGGGGGGGCTCTGCAAACAGCCCACAGCAAGGCTGGGCCATCCCCCATCGCTGGGATTGGGATTGACCCTGATGGGGGGTCCCACAGCCCCCCCTAAGGGCTGGATTTAGGGTTCTGGGGGTGGCAGCAGTTTCAATTTCCCCTCTCCCCATCCCAAGGCTCCGTGGCCATCAGTTCTGGTAGTGGTGGTTTGGTTTCTCCCCATGGAAGTGCTGTTGGTACAGACTTCGATGGTGTCATGTGCTGGGGGGGGTCAGGGGGTGGCACACAGAGCAGCCCTTGGTTGCTGCCCTCCCCACCTGATGCATCCCCATCACATATGGCTCTGCTGCCCCGCGGGGTGATGAGGACACAGGAGCTGCTCTGCTTCCCTCTCCTATGGGGAAGGAATTATTTTGTGTCCCCCCCTCCCCACATCAAGTCATTCTGGTGTCTCTGGGTGCAGGACAGCGGGTCCCCACGGCACACAGCACCCATCAGCACCCCGAGGTGAGTTGTGGGGCTCAACGAGCTGCGAGTTGCCACGCTTTCCGTGTGCTCTGAGCCCCACCAGGCCCTGTCCGTCTGTCTGCCCCATCCGGCTGTCCGTCCCATCGTTTCCCAGCCTCGCCGTTTCCTTTCCCAGTAGCTCTGCGTCACCTTTTGTCCCTCCGTGGCCCCCACCCGGTGTTTCCATCCCCACGCCGGCCTGTGCCAACCCTGTCCCTCTGTCCTGGCGCTTCCTGTCCGTCTGTCCCCTTCTCATCCCTATGTCCCCCCCTTCCTGCGTCCGTCTGTCCCGGTCTTGCTGTCCCAGCATCCCCCTGCCCGTTCCTGCTGTGCACAGCTGGGTTCTGCTCTGTCCCTCTGTCCCCCGCTGACCCCCATCCCCGGGTGTCTCCTCCCCCCCCCCAGCCCCCCCATGTCCCCCTCTGTGCCCGTTCTGCTGCCGGTTCTGGTCTGGGTGTCCCATTCCGGTACCGGATGGGCTCTGGTCACTCTGAGCCCTGCTGTACCGAACCGAACCGAGCCGTGCCGCCGGGGAGGGCTGAGCCGTGCCCGCCCCGCCCGCCCCCTCCCGCCGCCGGCACCCGGAGGAGGCGGAGCAGTAACCGGGGCCGTGCCCGGCCCAGCCCGAGCCGAGCCGAGCGGTGCCGGGCCGCGCCGAGCCGAGCCGTGCGGAACCGGGTCGAACCGTACCGGGTCCCGCAGCCCGATGAATGGCATCGCCTTCTGCCTGGTCGGGATCCCACCGCCCGCGGTGAGCAGAGCGGGGCGATGCCCCCCGGGTTGGGGGGTGGGAAACGGGGACAGGGAGGGGGTCCGGGCGGCGGCCCCGTGGGCGATGCTGACCCCGAGATCTCACGGAGGGGGTCGGACCGTGGCACCGGGTCCGTCCGTCGGGGGGGCTGTGAGGGGGGCACGGCATCGCCCCCCCGCGCCCTTACAGCGTGCTGCGGGTAGGGACGGTGACTCCGTGGGGTGGGGACAGAGATGGGGACACCGCC